CGGAATCGCAGCGGACCCCTCGGTCGAAACCCGACCGGCCGCGGAGGATTCGCCAAGTGGCAGACGCCTCCGCAAATACAAACAAAAGAAAACACTCCCCGCGCCCAGTGACCACCCCGGAGGGGCGACCAACACGGCTCGCCCCGAGGCGCTCCAGCTGCGGACGGGCGGCCGCTAACAAAATGAACAAAACGAAACACTCCGCGGCGTCGCCCAACCTTACACCTCCAACGCAAAGACTGTTGTACGGCGTATAGACCGACAACAGTACACAAAATTCGACGACCGGTGACGCTTTGCCGGTTCAGCAAAGGGACATGCTTCACTTATATGCTCATGATAACCTTTCTATGGGGACACAAAACAAACAAAAAGAAACGATCACGATTAGACACCACGCCAGTCTCGCACGACGAAACCGCCACTGCGCCGCCGGTGAGTTCGGTCATTTCCCTAGGCGCTGTACACAGTTCGGCCGGCACCCTGCGGCCCCGGTCTGCGGTGCCCACCTGGGCGAGCGGGAACATTCACCTGCTCCCAAGGGCAACGTGGCTCCGCGCTACACATCACTCCAACTGTTATTTCGGAGTCGCGACAGGGCGTCCGCGTTCCCGTTGTTTACCCCTTTACGGTGGGTGACCACAACGTCATAACGCTGCAGCGCCAGAGCCCACCTCGCCAGTTTAGCCCCGTGTGGTGTGCTCGCGGTGAGGTAGGTCAGGGGGTTATGATCCGAAACGACGTTTATCCGCGCCCCAAATAACCAGTAATCGAACTTCTTCAGAGCCCAGATTATGGCAAACGCCTCGCGTTCGATTGTCGACCAGCGCATCTGGGTCGGCGTGAAGCGATGGCTCGCAAAGGCGATGGGCTTTTCTACGCCGTCCCCTCTCATCTGTGCCAGGCAAGCGCCGGCAGCTGTTGCGGACGCGTCGGTAAAAAGCCAGTAGGGTTGATTCGGTTCGGGCGTGCAGAGGGCCACGGCACCACAGAGTGCCGACTTTAATTTTTGGAATGCCTCCTCTGCTTCGCTGGGCCACGGTATCAGGTTGGGCACCCCTCGCCTTGTGAGCGCGGTAAGTGGAGTCGCCACCTCGGCAAAGTCGCGTACATACTCCCGATAATACCCCATAAGCCCCAACACGCTCCTCAACTCCTTCTTGGTCCGCGGCGCAGCTAGCCCCTCTATCGCCGCGAGCTTGTCCGGATCGGATCCGTGGGAACCCGACCCCACTACGTGTCCCAAGTACTTTATATGCGCCTGAGCAACCTGGCACTTCTCAACGCTAGCCTTTAAGCCTGCCTGCTTAAGCAGCTGCAACACCACATCCACGTGCTCGAGATGTTCCTCCCAGGAACTGGAAAATATTGCTATGTCATCCAGGTAAGCGGAGGCGTACGCCTGGTGCCTGAATAACAAGCGGTTTATCATCCGTTGAAAGGTGGCCGCGGCGTTCTTCAGGCCGAACGGCATCACCTTCCACGCGTATTGCCCTTCGTGCGTCACGAAGGCCGTTAAATGTTCGCTCTCGCGAGCCATGGGCACCTGCCAATATCCGCGGCGCAAATCGATCACGGTGATGAACTTCGCGCCCCCGACTCTAAAGATCAACTCTCTCGGGTTTGTCATTGGGAACGCGTCGGGGAGCGTGGCGGCATTCAGCCGCCGATAATCAACACATAAGCGCACCGTGCCGTCTTTCTTGGCGACGCACACGATTGGGTGCGCAAACGCGCTTTCGACAGGGTAAATTAAGCCCAGCTCGAGCAGTTCGCGAATTTGCCGGCTAACCTCCTCTTTGAGTAGCTCGGGAATCCGGTACGGGTGCCCCGCCTTGGGTTTATGCCCCTCCTCTAGCTCAATCTTGTGCTGGCCCACCGTGGCTCTCCCGTGTGCCCCGCCGAATACTTCGCGATGCTCAGCGAACACGTTTAAGATCTGGTTCCTTAACTCTGCGTCGAGGTGTTCCAGTTTTGACACGGGGAGCTCTCCTGTGCCGTCCGAATCTCCCCGAGGGGCGTACTCGACCTCGCCAAAGTCTTCGTCTTCGTGGAATACCACTCCCACGTGCCCTGCTCGGGCATAGTAGGGCCGAAGTCGGTTTGCGTGCGCTATTGAAATCTTTCGGTCGGGCCCCTCTAACCGGTAGGAGTTCTGCCTCTCTGTCCCGATAACGGTCAAAGGCCCGGTCCACCTCGGCGCCATCTTACCTGTTCGGTTGCAATCGAACAGCAAAACCTTGCCTCCCACCTGGAAGGACTTCTCCCGCGCGTTACGGTTGTACCTGTCCGTGTAATCGCTCTGCTGAATACTGCTGCTCAAACTGGCCATCTCCGCCGCTACTTCCAGCTGCTCTCGCAACTGTTGTAAGTACTTCGCGGGTTCTTCGCGAAGAGTACTGGGAACAGTCACCTCACCCGTCCACGTTTGCTGCAGTATAGCCAGTGGCCCACTAGGGTCTCTACCGTAAAGCATACGGAAGGGAGACACCCCGGTAGTGTCGTGCGGCACCTCTCGGTAAGCCCAGAGAACGAAAGGCACAAGTTTATCCCAGTTCTTAGGGTCGCGTTGGATGACATGAAACAACATATTCTTAAAAACGCGGTTCCATCTCTCCACGGCTCCGTTGCTCTCCGGGTGTTCTGGCGTGGAAAACCTCGGGGAGCAACCCAGTCTTTCGAGCATCTGCTGCGTTAGCTTCGCGGTAAAGTTCGTACCCTGATCGCAGCACACGGTCTGGGGCACCCCCGTACGACTGAACACGTCTAGGAGGGCCTCGCACGTGGCCTTCGCAGTTAGTGAACGAAGGCAGACGACTTCGGGCCACCGAGTACAAAGGTCCACCATGCAAAGAGCATACCTGTGACCCCTCGATGAGGGTACGTCGAGAGGCCCGATTATGTCCACGTTCACAGCCTGGAAGGGATGCTCGGGACGCGTGAGGGGCGTAATCGGCACCCTATCCTTGCGCCTCCTATCCGATCGGATCTGGCACCCGTGGCACGACTCGCAGTGCTTAGCTACGTCCCTCTCTAAGCCAGGCCAATAGAAGCTGTACTTGATACGGAGCTTCGTTTTCTTTGCGCCCAGATGCCCGCCCCAGAACGACTCGTGCGCGAGGCGCATCACCTCCTGTCGCCTCTCGCTGGGAAGGACCAATTGCCTGACCTTCGAGCCAGCAATTGTGTCCCAGTGATACAGGAGCTCGCCCGATACGAACATCCCTCCCTTGCCCTGGCTCGCGTCCTCCCACGCCTTTCTTAACCCCGCGTCATTTTTTTGTGAATCGCGGAATTTAACAGCCTCGCTTGGCTCATCTCGGTCTATATCGGGATCCTTAGCTTCCTCTCCCCTTTCGTCCGTTACGGCGCCCGCGAGAACTTCGTCCTCGTCGTGTTCCCCGCCACTCTCTCTGCCGACACTTGACTCCCCCGAAGTTTCCCGCTGAGACTCAGAAGAGAGACCGGCGCCTCCCGAAAGTAGCGCCCAGTCCTCTCCCGTCAAAAGACAGTCCACTCCAGGGGCAAGCTCGTCGGTCAACGCGCACACGATGTTTATCTGCGCGCCGTCCACGACCGTGCCGTCGTGGCGGAGCTGCAGTGGCAAACGAGCGAGCTTGGCCGTTATTGCCTGTCCAAAGGCTGAAATCAAGCGTATGGATCCCGACGGATCCCCTGCACTTGTCGGCAACAATCCTTCCCGGATAACGGTTATCTCACATCCCGTATCGAGGATCGCGCTTGTCGGGACGCCAGCGCAAACGATCTCGACACGTTGCAAGCTGGAAGTACAGGCGGACCGCGGTGGCCCAGTCGCAAGCTTTGCCACCAATAACCCCGAGTTATCTGGTCCCGGCTCGTCTTCTCCCACTACTATCGACTGGATCCGCGATACCTTCGAGTGGGCCCCAGGGTGGGCTCCCAGCTTTGATTTCCGAGTCGGACAGTCCCTTGCCAAGTGCCCCTCTTTTTGGCACTCGTAGCATCGGAGTGGGCGGCCACCCCTGCCAGCCCTTGCAACCGGCGCCGCGCCGTTATCCCCGCTAGCATCTACCACCTTCGCGAGGCGGCCCTTCCCCTCAGCCTCCTCGAACGTCTGGAGAATTTTGGCGATCTCGTGTGCCTTCATCCATCCCTCGCCTTCGCGCAGAATCACATACTTCAGGCTGTCCCTGCTCAGACCGTTTTTTACCCGATCCGCGACCATCAGTTCGACTAGGTCTTGCTTAGTGTCGGCCCCTCTCGCGTCAAGGTAATAAGTAAAATAACCCCTCACCCTTGACGCGAATTGGGTCCACCCTTCGTCTTTTCTTTTGGACGCGGTTTCGAAGCGCCGGAGGTATTCCCCCGGCGTCAGTCTCAGCTCCTCTAGGACGGCCGCTTTCACCCTTTCGTAGTCGGCGACCTCCTCTGCGCTCAGGCTAGCGAAAAGGTACCTCACCCTCTCCGACAGTGCAGGCATAATCAGATGCACCCGGTTGTTTTGGGGCACCCCGAACGTCGAGAATATTTTTTCGACCTCCTCAAACCAAACTGGCACGTCCGCGTCGCAAGGCAGCTTACGGCCTTTCAGCACCTTGGCACCCTGTGAGAACGGGTCCATACGACAACCCTCGCTGGAGTCCGACCCAGAGCTTGACTCCGGTCGAGTCGTCTTTCCATCTACCTCAATCCGGCGCATAGCGATGCGCTCTTCCGACTCGAGTCTGAGCAACTCGCGCGCGTGCTCCAACTCGAGTCGCCGCATCGCAACCGCATCGGACTCGCCCGAGTTTCCCGCTTTCTGTAGCTCAACCTCGGCCCGATCATTGTCCCCCGTCCCCGACTCATCCGCCGACTTCTCAGCCATGCCTCTCGTTACGACCACCATAAACCACTCAACGCTGTACCGGAGCCACGTCAACCCCTGGGAACACGCAAGAAATCCCACTCACCCAGTCGGGGCTAGCCTGTTTCCGTTCTGCTCCAACGTCGGCAGGCGCTCACTTGCTTGCACCCCTTTACGGTTCAGGTGCGCTGAGGTCTGCCGCCGTCTTCAGGAGCTTGTTCCAACAGGGTCCCGGTCCGGAGACGTGTTGCGGCTGTTTCCGTCGAAGAGTCCCAGTGCTCTGCTCCAACGTCGGCAGGCGCTCACTTCCTTGCACCCCTTGACGGTTCAGGTGCTGAGGTCTGCCGCCGTCTTCAGGAGCTTGTTCCAGCTGGGTCCCGGTTCGGAGACGTGTTGCGCCCCTTCCTTGAAGGTTCAGGCGCACGATCCCTTCGCTGTCCTCTTGCCCGAGAGGTACGCCGATACTCTTCCGCCAGCCCTGTCGGCTGCGCCAGTAAAGTTTCGTCGTTGTTCTTCTTGGCTGGCGGCTTGGTAGTTTGGTGGACGATGGAGGCTTTTGGGGGTTACGAGTTCAAGACATTTATTTACATTACAAACTCTGTACAGTTTTATGTACAAGTAGGGGAAGTTTGCATCTCCGTCGAACTTCTTTACAGTCGTTCCCAAGCAGGCAAAAATCCCCCCTTCCCGCCCCGACACGAGCTTTTAAAACCTCGGTCTTCCTCGCCCTCGGGAAGGGATCGGCCAATAGGTTTGAAACCCCTCGGAGTCACGTGCTGCCACCCGTCCAATGTCCGACAGGGCGCAAACAGGCCCATTCGTCAAGTTTCCAACGGACCCGAGGTGACAGCCCCGTAACTCCGACAGTGGTCGTCGTCCACGTCCTCGTGGCGCCACAGGGAGCCCCTTAGTCGAAACCCGATCAGCCACGGGGCTGCGCCCGGCAGCAGCCGCCTTCGTAAACAAACAAAAAGATGACACTTCTCGCGCACAGCGACCACCCGGGGGCTGCCCAACCTTCATCGCACCAAGGCGCGCAGGCTCCTAACGAACCCGAGGGGAGAGCCCCCTAACATCGGTGGTGGTCGCCGTCTTCTCGGAATCGCAGCGGACCCCTCGGTCGAAACCCGACCGGCCGCGGAGGATTCGCCAAGTGGCAGACGCCTCCGCAAATACAAACAAAAGAAAACACTCCCCGCGCCCAGTGACCACCCCGGAGGGGCGACCAACACGGCTCGCCCCGAGGCGCTCCAGCTGCGGACGGGCGGCCGCTAACAAAATGAACAAAACGAAACACTCCGCGGCGTCGCCCAACCTTACAGTGGTGACAGGTGTTGTAGAACTTCTCTTGCTGCTACCCGTCTCAAAAGACGATACAATTCAGTGGTTTAAGAACACGTTGACATTTATTGACCGTTATCGCCCGCGCCGCGATTGCAAGAGCCCCCGCGCGAACGCTGGGACAACCTTTTATCAGCGGCGGAGCACTGACAAAAGGCCGTTCGGAACGTACTGGACAAATGTACTCTGATTTTCGTGGTGGCCACGTCAAAGCTTACCTCGTACAGAAATGCAGAGACGGAAGATCACAGACACAATGATAATACATCAAAAAAGAGGTTTAGAAGGTTATAAAGACACTTGGAGCAGAAAGCGTTTTGGCCTTGGTTACAGAAGACGCAAGCTGAGTTGAGGCTCCATGGACGATTATAAGTCAATATTAACCTCGCATCGCTACTTTGGTAGACTGCGCTCATGGACTAATCCTACTGTTGTAGGACTTGGTAAAGTTAGTGATATTGCAGAAACTTAATAAATAATTTAATAATAAAAATATATAAAAGAATAAGGGACGATGAAATGGAAAGCTAGGTAGAATCATTGGACAAGCGTCACGCATTCGTGCAAGTGATGCATCTAGTGTTTGAAACGCCACTGCACAACGGGCAACGTTCACGCAACGCATCTGGAGGTTGATATCCCCCAAAACAACACGTGTTCAATGATTTCAGATGATGTTGAACAGTGTCTAAATGGTCAATATTATTAATTCACCTGACGGTGAATTAATACGGCATAGCCAAAGTTATAATAAGAACAAATCGGAAAAATGTGTTTGCATAAAAAAACACTAACTTCGAGGCACAAAATGTCATTGATCATAAAAGGCTAGGTTGTTACTCGCATTTACGTGCACCGCCGGTGTCATAATGTTTGATAGTAAATACTTAAGTAATAACATGATGAATTTTTAGAATAGAATACCCGAAAGCTTTGCGAATAAAAAAAATAAATAAATAAATATAGCGTCGTCGCCAGTGAGCATGCGCGAAGCCCAAACCGCGTTTTGGGCTTGGCGCATGCCCTCTTTGCCATCTTTTGGACATGCCCAAATTTGGGTACGCCCTTCTGAAACTTTAAATTAGAAGTTCATAATTTTTTAGAGACAACGTCAAGGTACCGGTTGATTCTCCTAAATAATAATGGTCCTTACGTGACTTATGTTGATGAAAACTCTGAAACATGGCGGCTTGAGAGATTGTCAGCAAACATTCAGATATTGGCATGGAAGCATGTAACCAACACAGAAGTAAAAAAAAAACGTTCAGGCGATTGTTATAAACATTTTTTAAAACTTTTTGTCGTCTATATTACCTTATAGGATCATTTAAAACTATGCGGATCATTGATGGAATAAGAAGGTGCGGCTCATACCTTGAACATATTTTTAGACCATGCAGAGAGTGTGGCGCTGCGCTGTGCAAACATTATCCGATAGTCAGTGTCGTTACAAACACCAGAGGCATCACTTGCGGGACGCCGCAACGCTGGTTGAATGACGCTACCTAGCTTTCCACTTTTTCGTCTATTTTGTTTAGACGCAAACTGATATTGTTTTTAACTTTGCACGTCCGCCATGAGTTGGGGCATGAGATTCCTAATGCGTTTGTTTTTATATGCTCCATTTTAACTTAACATGAATTGCAGACGACGCTACGAGCTATACAAGTCAATCCAATATCGTGGGGAGCGTCGTTCACACTCTTGCGACCGAGTACGACCGAGAGAGACCAGACCGGTTTTTAAGCCTTTTGCGAATTCTTAGGACCGGATGCGATGCAGCGGAGCTGGTCCTAAGAGATCACAAGAGGCTCAAAAACCGGTCGAATCTCTCTAGGTCTTACTCGGTCGCAGGAGTGTGAACGGGCCTGGAGTGTAGCCGATTCATCGAAATTCGAAACGTAGTACAATGATGTCCAGATAAATGAATCGAATTGTTTTGTCAACAGGCCATTTTCATTCGTTTACTACCCAGGAAAAGCAGCGCAGCGCAACACAATCAACCATGCAGAACGCCCCAAGAACCGAATGCGTCGCATGGTTTAGTTTTCAGATACATATACAGACATATCACTAATAAATATAATTCGCAGTCTTTTTTTTTGTATAATGCTTTATGCTATTTGGGAGATTTTGCGATCAAGTACAGCCACTGTGGGTGCGGTGCTCGAGCACCACTAGTCGATGAGGTACAAGGCCTCCAATGATAATTTCAACCGCTACATAGATCTGACAAAACGTTTTTCTTCTCCATTTCAGGACAATATAATGCAATATATTAATAGGGATCCTGAATCATCTGTTTCGAAAGGTTCATGAACTGAAATTAAAAAATAACGAGAACCATAATTTGTTTTCTATATTTTGAAGACTTGAGGGCGCAAAGCAAAATACACTCACAACAGATGGGCACTAACCTTTTGTTAAAAAAGTGCATGAAATAATTTGCACAAAAATCTTCAGCCTAAAACTTGACTTAGAAAGTATTAAAAAATTGCCGAAGGATGGCTAAATATAAAAGTTTTGTGCAAGAGGCCAAGTTTGTCATTATATATCAATTGAACGACAACCTTAAACAAACTAATTTTAGATACTTCTAGCTGGTCACTTGGCGTGCATCACGCGTAAAAATAAGTACGTTGTACAATGTTTTATTTTGTATTCATGTGGTCTTTCAAGTCGCCTCTACGCGCATTGGAAAAAATGTAGTTCCACCGTCTCTCAGACTCTTTTTGTATTTTGTTTTTACAAAAACAAGAAAGTTTCTAGTTAAAGTAAGGTTCATTCCGTGTTATAGACACGTTATGGCAACTAACATAAAATTAAAAAGTAATCGAAAACATAATACAGGCATAACGCCCCTATGACCGTCATTATTTGAATACACCGTACAGAGAGCTGTTGGAGACTGATTGACAGTTTAGTTATTTTTTGCCACTATTTCTCGAATAAATTTAATGAAACTGTCTGCAATCATAAAATAATTACATTCCCATCGAAATGCTGTAAAGCATTGCAGTCGCACGGCGCCACAATATACCTGTCAAGTTTACTAGAATTTGTCTCTTAATCCCTAACTAACAAAATACCCGAAGTCAGTGGTTTGTACATATTGCCCCAGGTAAAACTTTCCATAGCATCAATAATTTCGAAAACAACAAATTTTAGCACATGCCTCTTTTTATATGAGAAAAGCCTTGAAGACTGGAGGATCGTTCAAACAGGATACAGCACATGCCGCGAAAGAAAAAAAAAATAAAGAAAAAAACGAGCGCTACTTTAAGAAACGTGAAAAGTCCGTGGAACGCTTTGGCTTTTAATTTGGACATCAACCACGCAAACAGCACAGCTTTCCCCCACGCCTGCTCGCTTTCGTTCCTTTCGCGCACTCTTTTTCGGAGATTGGAGTCCGAGGTCTTAGTGGTCACTTTAATGTTTTTTTTTTTTTTTATATTTAATTTTGAGTAGTTTCTAAATGTGCCTCCAAAGTGTACCAGAAGATAGAACAATCAGATTTTGAGGATCCAAATACAAAAAAACCCTCCTAATGCTTCTACCAATAAGTAAGGCCGGTTCGTCGTCGGCCCTATCCCCGACCTCCTGAATAAGGCATCAGAAGAAAACGAATCACTTTCAGAACAGACTCGCGCGCTTGTTATACGTCTGTCACACTCGCGCACACAAGCCCACCAACATGGACACACAGACGGAGGAAGAAAGCCCACGGCAGGATGGGTACCATGAGTCGACCGACAAGCGTTCGCACAGACCCGGCGACTACGACGACGGAGTGCGTGGCTCTAATGGAAAAATCAATGGGTCCAGAAGTAGGCTCCGCAGGAGGACCGTTGATTCTGGCCAAGGCTGTGCCGTTGGTGTTTCTCAGATCCTTGTTTCCCGGCTCTTTATTTATTCTGGGGCACCCCGGCTGTTGACAGAGGAACGGAGCCGTCCTGCTGCAGAAATGGAGCTTCCCTGTATATGTATTCTTTTTTTTTTTATCTCGCGGACCTCGCGCACCCCCGAATCTCTATCCACATATACACAAGGGCGGAGAGCATCGCGCCGAGACTCATTGTTTCGCTTTTGCTCCGTCGCTGTTATAGCTCCGTTCGCGCTTTCATTTTGGGGCCTGTATTCCGCT